CCATGCATATTACACCAGGATTTGGTTCCTTGCTGGCCTTGGAGGTATTGGAACATATTGAACTCAGTTAAAATATACAGGTACATGAATCTCATACCTCCCAAGAAACTATTTCTTCCCGTAAACACTTATTCAGACACTGTTCAGAAAGAGTTTGTGTGCTTGCACCTTGACCATTGAGTTTAGGGTGTGTGGGGATTCCGTCTTGGTTCAGTGAAGCATTCCTTTGAGAGTGTGTTGAATGTGTGCGGTGCGGTCAGTGTGTGAGTGGAGCAGGTCTGGTGAGAAGCTGTGTCCGCGTTCAGTGCGAGTCTTGCTCTCATGCTTCCCATCCTGCGTGGAGAAGACTTTAATGCCAGAAGCTGTTAGGAAACTGTACGGAAGTTTTATGGAAATGTGATTTTATTTATTTATTTTTAAAGATTTTATTTATTTGTCAGAGAGCGCATGTGAGCACAAGCAGGGGGAGCAGCAGGCAGAGGGAGAAGCAGATTCTTCCCACTGAGCAGGGAGCCTGATACGGGGCTCTATCCCAGGACTCTGGGATCATGACCTGAGCAGAAGGCAGATGCTTAACCGACTGAGCCACCCAGGAATCCCGATGTAAACATGATTTTAAACATACAGGCTTCGTTTGCTTAATGACAGAAAGTGCTACGGAGGCTCATGAAGGGCCTAGAGAAGTGTTTATTGGTGTTATGGGGCACCTTCTGTGTGGATTTGAGGAAGGCCTCGAAGGGTGGAGGTAAGAGTATAGCACTTTGTAATAGCACAGCTGTGGTTTGACATAGCTTCTCACTTGATACTGACGACATGCTGATGCCGATTGGCAGAGACCTGGGGCCCAGCAGTTGAAGTGACTTGCCTGAGCTCACCTAGTTACTCATCTGCTGAGAGGCAAACCTAGGTTTTTAGATTATCAGGGCCAACGCCAATGAGAACAGCAGATCATTCTGGACAGGTAATTTGGATTCCTGCTGCCTCAGTGTGTGGGGGCAATCCATGAAGTAAGGCTTGACACTGGGGCTTTCACCTGCTGGTTAAGTTTCTGGGCACCAGGTTGCCTTGCAGATCCGGTTTGGGATAAGCTCTTGAACACTTCAATGTTGTGGCTTTACATTGTGTCCTAAATACAGGCACTTATTTAAGTGTTGGTTGGGACTACTAGCAGGTACCAAATGTATCTTCAGCTTTGGGCAGAAGAGTGATTTCTAGGTGGAAAATACGGTTTGCCTTGTGTACATCCCCCCCCCCCCCCACCGTCCCCACTGGCATTGTCCAGCCTTCAGGGTAGGTAGAAGGCAGTCTTAAAAGAGCCTGAGAACTTTCTTAATACCTGCTTAAGCCGGGTCAGATGTCCAGTAGCTTCCAAACTCTGTGGTCACAAGCCCAGGTAGCAAACTGCTGCTTATTAATTTGTGCTGAATTAAAGATCTTATCAGAATATCCTTTCACTGAAGCAAGAGACAATACTGATTATTGTCTGTTTTTATGCTGCCATCTACACTATTTTAAGGGTGGGGGGAAATGTTTATGAAACCGTTCCGGGGTGGCAGTGATGTTTTTAGAACTCAGGCACTGTCGGGGAGACAAGACACATCCTCACACTGTCAGGAGGTAGGTGTACTCTCGTTAGGGAGAATCGGGGTGGCTGGAAGAGTTTCAGGGTAAACCGGAGGGGAGATCTGAATTTAGCTTTGTGGCCCCAAATCAAGCTTGCTTGTCGGAGGCTAGTTTAAGATGAGGGCTTAGAGACCTGGCGGAGGAGGGGAGACAGCTGGGATAACAGCTTCCTATGTTGCTCTTATTTCCATTCTTTCTCCAGAGCATTTATTGAGAATTCCCAGGACAGATGGTATGGCTTTTGATGTCTTTTGAGCTTTGATCTTTAACCTTCTTTTTCTGCTTCAATCTTACAACTCTCACCTAATTTATATTGTCTATACTTTAATCTGTACTTCTTTTATTTCTTTTATTCTGTTTTTAGGAACTCTGGTATTATTAAAGGTATATGAGTTCATTCCATTCAGGGTCTTAACTGTCTCCTGACACTTCAGTTCAGTTCTACCCTGAAGCCATCCTATGTAGTAACACATGTCATTATTATCACTAATAAAAGAGATCATCCTTTTTTCTTAAATCAAAATAAATTCCATTAGCAGCACTAGGAAGAAAATTAAGAATGGCATCTATGATTTTGGGGTGTTTGAACCCTGACCCAAAAGCCAGGATCATAGGAAAAAATATTCTTTAGTAAGTGACCACCTAAAAATTTAAAGTTACTTCTGGCAACAAATCCGTAGGAAGCAAGGTGGAAAGACAAGTGGCAAGCTGGAAAAGCTATGGAAAGGGTTGATATTTGCCATATGGAAAGAACTACGACAAAAAGAATGATGAATAAACATCAAAGGAAAAATGAAGGAAAATAGTGGACCACTAAATATGTGAAAAGATGTTTAGTTAGCTTCAGGAAGAATCTAAGTAATGCAAATAGAAACGAGGTCTTTGTTTTAATCTATTATGTGGATAGAGATTAAAAGAAAGGTCAACAAAACCCAATATTGACATTGGGTAGGAGAGCAAGCCCCCTCATACATGGGTGATACTGTAAATTGGTGACCTTGTCCGCTGGGCAGTTGATCAGCCTGTAATACAGTGTAAAACATGTATACCCTTTGACCCAGCAGTTTCACTTCTACTGATTCCTTTCAGAGATCTGTGTAGAGGGTTATTAGACACAGAGTTTGTAATTGTGCAACGTGAGATGGAGTGTGAGCATCCACTGATACCAGGAGCACTTAGCCACCAGTATGCTTATATAGCAGAATCATGTTCTTACACATCTTTGTATTTATTGAGTGGGAGGGTATCCATAATACAGTTTTGGGTGAAAACAGCATATTATAGAAAAGCCATGTATCTGATGGGACGCCTTGGTATAGAAAGTATGTCTTTCCACTCTGGGCTTTGTACACACCCATGCATTGAGAGCCTGGAATGATCTTTCCAGAATCACCAGAATCTTACTCATGGTTATCCCTGGGTGATAGACCTAAGGTTCTTCTGACTGTCTTTTATATTTCTGTATATATATCTCATTGTGTGTCTGTGTATGCTCAAAGTGAGTATATATCCTCTTTAAAAGTGGACCTTAGGGGCATCTGGGTGGCTCAGTTGTTAAGCGTCTGCCTTCGGCTCAGGTGAGGATCCCAGGGTCCTGGGATCAAGCCCCACATTGGGCTCTCTGCTCAGCGGGAAGCCTGCTTCTCCCTCTCCCACTCCCCCTGCTGTGTTCCCTCTCTTGCTGTGTCTCTCTGTGTCAAATAAATAAATAAAATCTTAAAAGAAATAAAAGTGGACCTTAAGTCTGAATTTTGGAGAGGGGGAAAGTACAGAATGCTATTGGAATGTACAGTAGCTAGGGAGGAGGAAGTAAGGACCTACAAGTCTGCAAGGGGCATCCCTACTCCTACATTTGCACCCAAGTATATAGTGCAGAACCTTGCTGCAAAGGAAGGGGATGCCTGCCCATACTTTCGAGGAGAGCTATGACCTTGAGTTAGCTTGAGTGTGTGGCTGTGATCAAATGAGCTGGGTGGGGCTGACGCAGTTCTGTTTCTGCACCTGGTACAGCTGCACCCTTTTTGCATAGATCTGTTGCCCTGCTGGTTAAAGCAAGGTCATGGCTTTGCTCTCTATACCAGTCATTTCCTCCTTTCTTCCAAGGCGAGGTCTGAAACACTATCTCATTGGTGGTCAGGGAGAATTGAGTTGGTTTGGCTTAAATCCCATCCCATAAAACCAAAGGCCTTGTTGCTCAGTTAACTGGAATCATCTTATAGGACAAAGGCAGCTCTTTTTAACATACTTGATTATACGGTTTCTGAGTTTTCTACTTCATTTTACTTATTCGTTCCCTGTTTCTCAAGGGCATGGTCTGTACGCTTCATGATTTTCGTGTTCCTTTTCATTGCCTAATTCGGTAATAGAGGTGGCATTAGTAAGCATTGACAGAAAATGATGAAATAAATAAGGTCAAGGCTAGGACTCTTCTCAGATGACTTTTTTTTTTCTTTTTTTTTAAAGCAAAGCTGGTTCTTCAGAGTTAGAGGAAAGCAGAGCTACTTTGCATTGCCGGAGGAGGTTGGAGGCCAGGGGGCAGGTGGATTCTATCCTAGGCTGGAAGCAGACCACTCTTTATGGCCTCCCTTGGCCAGTTTGTCCCTTGCAGCAGAGGGACTGTTGTGGGTTTGGACCTAAGCAGGGACTTCTCCTACTTTATTTATAAAAGCCTGTGCCACAGATAGTCCGTCAGGACACATTTTGTGATGTTGAGCTGACCCAGGGGCTCTCTCTCAGCAAGGTGCTTGCTGTTGATGCCGCATCGTGGTGAAACTTGACCTTCATGCTGGACGTGGGTTCTGTTTCAACAATGTTTTCTTGGCCTGTTTGAGATAGTGAGACTCAGTGAAGGCTACTAACGTTAAAGTCATGTTTGAGTTGTGTGAGAGTTGGGACAAGCAGGAAGGAGGTCCCTGGGCTCCTTTCTGATGTTTTCTCACGCTGGACCTTATCTTGAAGGCTAGACCCAGTTTGTTGGTGCCCCTGCCCCACTGGCTTCTGACACCAGTTGGAATGAACTTGCTATAACGACATAAAAATGCGGTGGTACACTGTAATTGAATAAGCATACGAGGGGGTTTGTACTCACCAGGTTAAAGGATCATATAGCCTTAAACCATGTAGATTTTCCAACTCAATTAAGCTACCCATTATCTTTTCTTTAAGTGACCAATAAAGCGTGCGATTATGTCTTACTTTGCAAGTGGGATTAATATCTACTGTTTATCTCAAGATAAATATTAGCAACATAGCTTGGGAAAGCAATTTTATGCACTCAAGAGTGAGGCAGTGGAGGGCTAAAGTGTTGGGTATGAAGTTTTATCTTTCTGAACTGATTATGAAGTATACTAAACATTTATATGGCTTTGTCTTTATAGACTGAAATCGCCAAGAGATTGAATACAATTTGTGCACAAGTCATCCCATTTCTGTCTCAGGAAGTAAGTAAAACTGTTCAGCTGTTAAAGTGCAATTATGTTGCTTCTCTGTTTGCAAATTAGCTAGTTTTAAGATGTTAATTTTATCACAAGGAACAAGTGTGAAGAACATCTGCTCCAGCTGAAGTGTGTAAGCCCCCTGCTATCCCATCTAGCAGAGCTGAGGGCACACTGTAAACGTGGTGACGATAGCTCAACCTCAAATTAATTTTTTTTCTTCCCCCGTGGAAGACTGCAAAGTGACGATCCAACATAAAACTTTGCTTTTCTTTGAGGAGTAGTATAAGCTTGGGAAGCTACTAATGATTGGAGTGTCTTTCTAGAGAGCTTTTCCTTTACTGCATTTATTTTTTATTTATTTATTTATTTTTTAAAGATTTTATTTATTTATTTGACAGAGAGAGATCACAAGTAGGCAGAAAGGCAGGCAGAGAGAGAGGAAGGGAAGCAGACTCCCTGCTGAGCGGAGAGCCCGATGTGGGACTCGATCCCAGGACCCTGAGATCATGACCTGAGCCGAAGGCAGTGGCTTAACCCACTGAGCCACCCAGGCACCCCCTTTACTGCATTTAAAAAAAAAAAAATATGGTTCCATCAGGGTTGACTTGACCATGGAAGCAGGTGTTTCATGTGTCCTTGGACATCAAGTCAGGTTCACGGATGCTGTCCATGGAGGAAGCTGATGCTAATAGTCTGAAGGATAAAATAAGTGTTCGTATTGCTGTAACTTACAGTCCCGTACACATGTAAGCCATTGTATTAAGTTACAAAGTCTCAGAGGTTGAACTTTCTTATTTTGAGAGGGAAAAGCTCTTTATATGAGTAATCTGTGAAATGGACTCAAAGCCTGTATATTTTAGTTTTGCCTTCAAGATTACTTTTGGATACAAGCTAATAAATGATAAGCTGTGTTCTCAGTGTGTCCAGGCTGCACTGAGACAGTGAAAAGCTTCCTGGAGCCACAGCTAGAACACGGGGTGTCTGTTCTTACCAGGATCTGCTGCTCCAGAGTGGAGAGCAGGGATCTCCTCTGCCTTTTCTGGTGTAACGTCTATTTGACGATGCACTTGAGTTTTGTTGGCCTTTGCAATGGTGTTGTTGGACTTTAGTGATACTGGTTTCTACCACAGTCTCGTGCCTCCCAAAAAGCAAAGATGTGGCTTGGTTTTTGTGGGTGGAGCTGGAGAGATACATCTGCCCTTTCAGACTAAGCCATTTGTGGGTGAACTGTGCAGAGTGTTCCCAGCCTGTGAACTAAGAGTTTGGGGAGGGGGATTCCTTCCTTTTCCCCTCAGGAGGATGAAAAGGCTGAAGAAAGAAAGGAATCCCCACAGTGTCCAAAAACTACTGGAGGGTTGAGATTTGTTGACCAGAGAAGTAATCAAAGATTTAATGTTTAAATTTTAAGTATAAAAGTGGGGGGTTTTAAAGTGGCTGTAAACTTTACCTGCTCAAACTTAACAGTGAACCCCTTTTGCAAACCTAGCTGATCTTCCAAATCCCCAATACCAGTGATTTTCTAAGGCTTCAGTTACCTGTTTTGAGGTCTTTGATTTTTCTATCATTCCAACCCCAAAATTCCCATCAGAAGGTAAATGGGGACTAGTTTTGCTTAGAAATAAGGGAAGCTCTGTCCTCTGTTTTCCTTTTCCTGCTGTCCATGTGTTCTGTGAAATAATCAGTGCTTGAGACACTTCACATTTAAAACCACATTCTGCTGAATCTACACTGCATAAGCTTTTATATTTTTGTTGTATTTGTTGTTGTTGTTGTTATTGTTACTGGAAGGTAGAATGAAGTTCTTTGGCTGCCTTACTAACACCTTTTCTTCTCCTTGTTTTCAAAGCATCAACAACAGGTGGCCCAGGCTGTGGAGCGTGCCAAGCAGGTGACCATGGCAGAGTTGAATGCCATCATCGGGGTACGTGGCCTTCCAGGTCTACCTCCTACAGTGTGTATAACCAGCTTTCATTTCTTATTAATTTGATGGCTTAATCTCTCTCTATGTATAATGTCATGTAGTCTTAACATTGGTCAGTAAGGGTTGGGGAGGAGGACTCAGGTATGGGAGGTACGTAGGGGAAGACAGATGAGCATAATAAGGAAGGTGATAGAAACACTTTAAGGAGGGGGAGAAGAATAGATCTACTGTTCAGTGGGAAGATAGATGCAGTTTATGCCCTGACACTTAGACCACCCCTGCTTTCTTTATCAGTATTTTAAATACTTTCCTTACTTTAGGCTTATAACTTTGGATCACAGGGAGGTCAAGACAGGTCTCAGCATGATCCTTTCCTTCAGCCATCTTTGCTTTTGCTGTTTGCTTTCTGGGGTGTTAGGCCCTAGATGACTGTTTGCTCTTTCTCTTCCTTGTGCCTCTTGCATGAATTTTTAAGTGGCACCCCAATGAAAAGAACACTCTCTTGCCGTTGAAGAAGTGATAATTGTCTGCCCCAGTGCTCTCTAGCCTTTCACCAGGTTTTTGCTCTCCTGCCTTGAGTTCAGTTAGTGCTCCACGCTGGCGACTGGTTGTCAATCACAAGTCATTTGCTCTGCATTAATGAGCCCGGTGAACCGTGCGGTGTGTCCCTTCCCCCTCCCCTCCCCACCCCTCCTGTCCCCCAACCCCGTACTTCCCCCTGAGTTTGTCCTCACTGCTGCAGGCCCCGGGATCCCGGGACAGTTCTCATGTTTTCTCCCCTTCCAGACTAAGCCAAAGAAGTAGCTGAAACAAGGGACCATCCTTTCTGATTTTATTCATATGTGAGTGCCTTGAGCGGATTCAGATCACTCATTTATCAATTTATGTTAATTGCTTGTGAGAAGATGCCCTGCTGGTCTTTATAGTTCCCTCAGACACTTTGTAATGATAATTAGACATGCTGCTGTACGGATTAAGAGTGCCATAGTCCAATGACGGCCACAGACAATGGAACCAGTTAATCCATCAGGGTTTAAAATTACATCCCAACTGGAGATGGAGAAAAAACATAAGAGCCAAGGAGGATTAAAGAATGAGCCTCAGCTTGAAAACTCTCCTTTCATCAGTTTCTCAATTGCCGATCTGCAGTCGGGTTGCCTGTGGTAAGCTATTGGCAGTCAATTAGGTGAAATAAAGTGGGAGGGTGACCTTCATTTCCTTTTAATAGCTTTTTCCTCCCTGAAATGGGGAGCTTCAGTGGATTTTCAGCTTAAATTTTATTCAAGCTGCTTTATTACACTTGACAGCTTAGCTCTGCATAAACAATTCTCCCCTCCTCCTCTTCCCCCCAGACCCAGGCTCTGCCTTTCTACCCCCCCCTCTTTAGATCACATTTTTGACTGTTACTTAGTGGGCTCTCTAATCACATTCAACAAAAAACACAATTACATCTGCATTTGTCGGCTGCCTTCTGTACCCTTTTCTTGTGTAATAAATTGCTTTATTTCAGAGATCAAATCAAATATTCACTGGTACTTTTGCATGTACTGTGTTTGATTAGCAAAGACTAATAACAAATTGTACTTGTAGCTCGAGCACAGAAATTTTTAACCCAAATGAATGAGGATGGAAAAGCCTGTTTTGATTAAAGAGAAACATATGCAAAGCAGTTCTCAAGTACCCAGTTACACTTTATGGAACATGTTTGTTTTCTGATAGTCTCTAAATTTTTACATATCCTTTCTCCATGGTGAACCTCACGTACCCGTAAATTCTCCGAGGCCCTGCTCAGCCCCACACGTTAGAAAGGGGGAAATTGTATGAACCAGATGTTTATAGGTAAGACTCCTTTTGAATTGAATCAGAGAATGAAAATGGCAGGTCGTTTGAGAAGGGCAGATGAATCGCTAATTTTATGAATGGCTTGCATCCAGGAAACATGTTGTTGAGATTATAAAAGCAGATTAGCTCTGATAGCTAGCGACAATAACCCAAATCAGGGAATTGGGCCCGGAGCACAAGACTTAACGCCAATTGTGTGTCTTCAGCCTACTAGCCTGTGCAGTTTTCCTAATTGTAAATTTTTGGCTCAGTCTATTAATTTATGTCAGAAGGCTCTTTGCAAGTTTGTGGTGATCAATAATTACCCTGCACCATAAGTTTCATGCTCTGGCATATGCTTGATTTTTGCTTGAAAGGAATTATGCGCGTCCTGGAAAATTGAAGTAGCATAAAATTGGGTTGACAATTTAGTGGACCTTCGCACCCCTTCATTGAACATGCAGTGTGTCAACCTGTCTCCCCAGAGGGGAGGAGGCTCCGGGAGGCTGTCTGTTCCTACAAGCAGCAGCTGCGCACAGAGTAAATGCAGCCCCGGTCTGATAGCAGCTGTCAGTATTGCTCAGGGACCAGCTCAGGATGAAGAACAATGGGAGAGGCCACGCTCTTCGTCTGCATCGACTTTCAGGCTAAGAAAAGAAATAGTAATTTAACGGTTTAGACATCTATTACAAGTGTGAAAGATCGTGAAAGAGTAGCCTTTAAAATGCAAATGAGCCGAAACATTCTCATTCCCTTTAAGGTACAATCAAGGGGCCTACTGCTTGCTTGCTTGCTTGCCAGGGCTAAAGACATTTCTCTTTAGCAGACCTGGAAAAAGGGAAATCTCAAGGACACCAGGGCTGCTGAGGTGGGCTCAGCTTCTGTCCTGGAACTGTGGAGTGCCCTTGGAGGAGGAAGAGAGAGTGTCCTTTTTTTCCCGTCCGTGTTGAGTGAATTAATGATGCCCATTTCTCACCAGCATGGAAAACTTAATTCTCCTACCTTACAGAAAATACTGAATTTTACACCTGTTCCACTCCAGACATCACCTGGCTTCAACTTACATAGATTACTGGTATTTCAGAAAGATAAGCTTCTTAGATACTGGATATTTGGAGAAACTGTGGGAATAGTTACTTTTCATGTGATACTTTATTTTTAAAAGTTGTGACGGATAGCAAATTTGATAATTGGCAGATTAACTACAGCCCTACTTTTTGAATGTTGCTTTATATTAAGCTCTTTTGCTATTAAGTATGTTATGTTCTTGTAGCTATAGAAAGAGTATTTAATAATGCAGAGATCTTGATAGGCGAAGTTTTATGTGGTGTGACACACAGCTTACGTGCGCTTTAGAAAACAGGTTCGTGTGGGAAGGGAGCTTACTGGAGACCTTTATTTTTTAATTAATAAATTTATTTCTTTCATCTGTACAGTCTCTGTGATGTAAGCAGACTTACCCAAAGATTTTTCCCTCCCCAATTTGGAATTCTATTAAAAACGCTCAAAACAAAATAGATTTTTAGATGGCAACACCTTGTGCAATGGTTGATGTCTTCCTGAAGGCAGGGAAAATGATTGAAGGATTTTTCGAGATCACTTTCCCTTGTATTATTTGAGGGAGCTTGGAACTAAGAACTTTCGTCTTCTACTTGCTATGATACTAATTGATTTTAGTTGAGATTCGGATTCCAGATAATTAGCGTTATATGTTAGTGAATTTATATCACATGTGGTCTCTACAGATCATATGGATAGAGATGCATATGTATTTGTTCACACAGGCTTTTTTTTTAAAAATTGAGGTATAATTTATATGTTGTGAAATGCACCAGTCTTAAATATATAGGGTGATCACTTAGGCGTGTGCACACACCCTGTAACCCACACTGCTTTCGGGGGTGCAGATTCTCTCCTTCACCCCAGGAAGTTCCCTTGTACTTTTTTTCACCTGGTGTTTCTCTACCCCCAAAGAAAAATGGTTGCTTTTTGATTAGAAAGTAAAATATGACTGGCTGAGTGTAATTTTTAAAGAAACAATTGCATGATCGATGTCCATTTGCTTGCAAGTACTGGCTGGCCAGCTCCATGGCGCTTTGTGCTAATCTTTCTCAGAGCATTTGTCTTGTTTTACCTTGTGCAAAGGTAGAGCATGCGTCTGGGATTGAATGGACTTGAGTAGGACTCTCGGTGCTGCCACTTGGGAGCCTTGTGACCTCGTATAATCAATTAACCTCCTTTTAGTGTCCCCATCTGCAGATGGGTAATACCATGGCTTTTGTGGGGATAGCACCCTGGCTGGCAGCCTTTATCAAGCATGGTCCCGACTCCTTGAACTGTGGCTCCGTCTACCTTGTTTCTCAGAGTGCCTGCAGCATATCTGTGGGTCCAGTTGGCCAAGTCTCCGTGAGGGGTGGTGGCTCCGAGCAGCAGGTCACTTCCCCTCTAGTCTTTCCTAGTGATTAGGTGGGTGTCAGTGTTTGAGATTAGACCCATTCAGATGCTCTGCTCCTGCCACTCAGTTGTCATGCGTGAACAGCTTTTACTCAGGAATCCGCAGTGAAGAACCTTTGGCTATTGAACTTGATGAACAGACTTAAGGCTCAAAACAAGGGGGGAAAAGTTAAGTTTCGGGAGCAGGTGGAGAGAAAATTGAGAGGCAGAAGTGAGGATAAGACATCGTTGGCTTCCTTACTTAGGAGAAAGGAGAATAAGGCCTTTGCTGGTCCTGAGGGGTTGTTGTACAGATCATTGTGATGGAATTGGAAGGAGAGAGAGAAGAGATGGCCATATGAGCGATGGGGATTGTCTTTCCCATACCACAGAATGCCTGATTTTTGACAGCTGCCCCTATGCTGACTGTTGAACATAAGAAAACTTGAACAGTTTCTCATAGTAACGCCTGTGAACATCAGGAACTCAAAACATTCAGGGTTAGTGTTGGCCACCTTGTTTTTCCCTTCTCATTTAGTTGGACCTAGTCTAACTTAATTTTCGACGAACGGAAGAACTTCTATCAAGGCCTTTGGGGATTCAGTTATTGGTCAGATGTCTGTATCCCTGCTTCATAGGTGAACATAAAATTCTCTATACTTGGAAACAATTTAGTGTGAACTGAAAGAAGTCTAGGGGCTTTTGTAATGTCTGTCTATGTTTATGTAGGGCACGTCTATGAATACAAACTCCTGATGTGTCTGTAGAAGGAGGCT